ATTGTTGTTTGGCGGGTCCGGGCTGGGGATTCGAACCCGCCACCTTAGGTGTACGTGGCTGGCGTCTTAGCCGGTTGAGCTATAGGCGCCGAGCCCACATTATACATTTCTTATGAAAGAAATATCTGAGATAGGAAAAGCTGTTAGTCATTATGACCCTAACACAGCACAAGCCTTGAAATATTCAAGAAATGGGCTTATTTTTTCAGTATCTTTCCTATTTTTAAAATCCTAGAGTAAGAAGATAGGAAAACCTAGACAAAGCAGATGGGGAAAATGTTTGCAACATATATATATATGAAGATTTATTAGCCATTTATAAAAATTACTTCTTCCTAGACATGGGCCCATATGCTGGAGGTGGCAGATTCAAACCCAGCCCTGACCAAAAACTACAAAAAAAAAAAAAAAAAAAAAAGTGGTGCACTAGCAAAATAATACAAATAGCCGTTAAAGGTATGAGAATAATTTTTTTTCATAATTAAAGGGAATATTTTTTAAAATTGGGTTCTCACTGAGTTGCCCCAGATGAGGCCAGGAATTCAAGCTGAACTTAAACTCCTGGCCTCAAGTGATCCTTCCACCTCAGCCTGTAAAAGTGCTGGAATTACAAGCATGAGCCAATGTGCCTAGCCTACAGGGAAATTAAAACAAAAGTGACACATTATTTGTCATACATTGAAGTTGGCAGAGGCATGGAAAAATCAGCAGTCTCATGCATTATTGCTGGGAACATAAATCATTCCATATCTCTAGCAATTTCTCCCAAAAATGAAAATAGTTCCATTTCCAGGAATGTTCACAAAGTTATATGTAAAAGAGCATCATTGTAGACTTTTTATTTTCTAATAGCAAAAGACTGGAAACTACCTGAGTATCCATCAGTATGAAATTAGTTAAATTATGCTTTGTCCATACAATGGATTACTGTGCAGCCCGGAAAAACAATGAGGTAGAGCTATACATGTTTACATGTTAAAAATAAAGTAGGGCAGAGTGTATTCTGGCCAGGAATATTTATGGAGCGTCAATGCCAGGCCCTGTTCTAGGCACTAGGCATAAAACAGTGAGCAAAGTTAACTCCTCCCTGTCCTCCATGAACTTGCATCTTAGAGGAGGAATTTCACATTCATGTGTCTACATAGACTGTATCCAAAAGGATAAGCAATCATAACATT